ACCAGTTTTTCTAGGAAAATATTTTTGGCAGTGGTAACCTCGTAGCGGCGCCTGTTATATGGAAGTTGGCAAACATTTTGCTTGTATAAACGTTTTGATTTTGGCAGTGCTTAAATGTCGCCCAACTTAAATTTTTCAAACTTTATTTCTAAAACTAACAAAGATTGAGCAAATGAAAAATAAAATACTCACCTCATAGTGGGCCAAACAATGGATATTGCTCATGTTACCAAAATTTCCAGTTCATTAAAAAAAAATTATTTCAAAAACATGACTTGTTCAGAAACTATACTAGTTTGATAACATAATTTTGTTTTAAAAGATAGGTAATAGGTACAGGACACGACAAATCAATGAAGGTGCAAACGCTTGTTAAAAAAAAAGACTAACATCGCCTTTCTTTAATTTTACTTAAGCAAACGTTGATGTTCGCTTAAAATTTTTTTAAACAAACACACTATTTCAGCAATTATTTTCCAAGAATTTATGTGACTGATTGTTTTTTATTTATTATAAAAAACATATTCATAATAAAAATTAAGATAAAAAAAATTAAAACATATTTTCAATGAGTTTAAAAGAAACCATGCTAAAAACTTACTTTCTTCAGTAGCGTTACTTTTAAGTTACTTTTAAGTTGATTGAATAAGTATGCTATTGAAGAAAGTAATTATATTATAGAATGGTTATTACATGCATTTACAAAAGCATACAAAATTCTTTAATTACTTTAAAATATTGCTTTCTTCACAAGGATGTCTTTTTTTTTAATTTTTTTATTATAGTTAAAGTAATATTTGTTTAAGACACTAAAATTACTTAAAAATTTTAAAATAATATTTTAGTTTTGCTGAAATATATATATATATATATATATATATATATATATATATATATATATATATATATATATATATATATATATATATATATATATATATATATATATATATATATATATATAATCTAATAGAATATATAGAATTATTTTGTTTATTATAGTTTAATTTATTATTATAACTATAAAATAATATTTTTATTATTAAATACTTAATATTATAAATATAATAATTAACTAATAATTATTAAAAATAATTAATAAATATATATATTAAGAATTTAATAATAGCTTAATAAAATAATTTATTAAGTGTCTAATATAAAAAAATACAAACATCAACGTTCATTAAAAAAAAACTGATTTGTCACTCGCTGAGGTATAAATGGTACATAAAAGTCATTTTTAGCTATATATTAGAATAAATATCACTATGTAAGCTGTGCCAATGATGTATTCAATAAAAGTGTATGTCTAGAAATTAAAAAATGAATTAAGACTAATATTTGACCAACACCTCCACCACCACCCTTGCCCTCTTTTTAATTAAATTTCTATTTTTAATCAAATTTAATCAAATTAGTTCAATCATTAATAAAAAAAAATTGCAGCATTTATATCTGTTTAAAATAAACAAATTGCAAGAGTTAAAATCAAAACTCTGTTGTGTATATAGAAATAATAACGATTTTACTTATCACGGAAACCTTTTTTATATTTTGATTTATATTATATCGCTTCAAGTTTAAATCATTTTTTTTGAAACATTATTAGATAATGAATCAACAAAAGTATATATATCTTTATTTTAATAATAATGAAGCTCGCTGAATTTGACTTATTCAAAATTTTTATTACTGAGGAAAATAAACAACTAAAAACTATTTCTGCAAATTTGACAGATTATTTACTGTTAACTGCTAAGGCACTTGGCTCCGATGAATTGACATTTGCAAAAAAAAAAATATTTCAAACAGCTAGCGAAGATTTCAGCTACTTATTATATAATTTATAAATTCATTTTGAATATCTAAAGATATCAATTTATAAGAAAAGAAGGCAAGATATGATTTAGCTAAAAAGCCTTTTGATAAAATTGGATCCAAACAACAACTTAATTGAACTGAAGAACAGTTTGACTGATGTTTTGAATAAGTTTTGCGATCTTGAAAATATTAGCCAAGTTATTAGGATTTTTATTAACAAGATCTCAAGATAAGTGTGCATCAGATATTGGTTATGATCTTTTTTCTGAAAAACACAAGGATAACTCTTTCAATAAGGTTCCAATAGAAATAACTATATCAAATTATACAGGCTGTGCTTTTGTTAGCTATCATATAACAATTTATACAGGCTGTGCTTTTGTTAGCCATTCATATATTAATTTAAACAGGCTGTGCTTTTGTTAGCCATTCATATATCAATTTATGCAGGCTGTGCTTTTGTTAGCCATTCATATATCAATTTATACAGTCTGTGCTTTTGTTAGTCATTTATATACAAACCAAAAACTTCTTTTAACTGCTGATTTCAATATATTGCCTAACTAGAAACATCTTAGAAAAAAGAATTTGAGGTAACACCAATTATTATGAATTATCTTGAACCTTATTCTTGTGTTTACAATTGTTTCATATTAATTTTATTCTTGATATGTGAACATACTTGATATTAAAAATTATTTTATCTTAAAACTAACTGATATTTTCATAGGCTCTTCATCCTTTAATACGTACATTTGACTATTTCAAAAAGACTGTTGTACACATGAAAGCTGGTATTTTTGATTGGTTAATTTTAGATAATGAGGAAAGAGGTTTGGGAAATCTTGATGAGTCAGAGTTAGAAGGTAATAACAAAATATTAAGATTGATACGTAGTCAACTCTCAAGAAGAAAATCCCAAATTTACAATTTAACTGACACCATTAACTGAATGTGGATATCATCAGATCCAATTATTTATGATGAGAGATACAAGTCAAAGCCATTTTGCAAACTTTGTAATGAAAGAGAACATTTTGATAGATATTATCATAATCAAAATGTCTCTAATAACTATTTATCTGAAGACAACACATATTCTGAAATGTTAAAATATGAATAAATTACAAATTTAAGTACTTCTTTTGATAACTTTTATTGTTTTTGTCATTAATGCACTTATGTTATTTTTGCATTACAAAATATACATAAATATTTAAATACATTTGTACATATTTTTATTATAACCAATAAAAAAGCAATATTTATGAAACTTTATGAAAAATATTTTGTTCTTCTAAATTATGATCTAAATATGCT